GGGGGGGAGAGGGGCGATTACCGTAATTTATACACATACCACGCACCTCCTGCTCTGTCGTGTATCTGATCAGCTATTACCCAGTTGCGGGTGGTGGCGTCATTGCCACTCTCTCCATTCGAGGGCAGTCCCGTGGCCTGTTGATGGGTTTTGAGATGACTGAAGAGTCCAGTCCTTGATCCCGCAGAAGTTAGAGGTCTTTCCTTAGAGGAGAGCAGGCTGCAGGTTGGGGCTCCTCTCCTCTTCTTTTCTCTTCTCTGCTTCGAGGGCAAGACATGTCACCTCAAAAGGGGCTGTCGCTTGGTGGAGGTTGCGGCGCCATTGGAGTCGCTGAGCAGTCGGCTTCTCCCAACTCTTGCTGTTGACATCCATTGTCTTGAGGGACGCCTGCCATGCCTCCTTGTCCGGTTTCCTCGGCCGCTGCCGCGAGATCTCAGGCTGCGACTGACCTGGGAGCAGAGCACTTGTTTTGGGAGTCAAGAGTCAGGCCTTTATGCACAGTGTCCGGTCCAGTGAAGTTGGTGTGTGAGGATCTCCAACTCCATGCTAGTAATATTGGCTTTGGCAAGGATGCTGCAGTTCCACTGTGATCTTCCCATTGAATGCAAAGGATTTTCTGGAGGCAGCATTGGTGACACCTCTCCCGGCTCTTGAGGTGACAATGGTAAGTCATCCACATTTCGCATTCGTACAGGAGGGTGGGGATGATGACTGCATTGTAGAAAGAGTCAGTGGCCCATTGAGTTCATGGCCCATTGTTCTTCACTTTACCAGTGGTAAACATGCTTTCTTCTTTTTTAATGGTCTTGGGGTTTCGCTAATGAAGCAGACTTTTCTTAGGGGGAATGTTGGTTTCTGCTAAGGCTTCTGGTCTCTTATATTCACAGCCCTTTAGCTCTTTTCAAGTCCACAGCTGGAGACCAGTCTTCAGCTGCTAGGGTTTGAAGGTAGTAGGACAGGAAGGGTGAGTCAGCTGAAGATTAAGCTTTGTCCCTTCTCTCTGCTGCCATAATTCTGGAAAAACAAATTTCTTCAGGCTGACTTCCAAAAACAAGTTGTGTATTGTATTTGGGGGTATATTAAAAGCAAGAAAAATGTGTGGGTTGGCTGCCATGGTTCTCCTGCTTTCCCTGTGGCAGGTTCATGTGTGATGTCTGGTATTATGTTAGGGTTGTTAGTAGTCTTACGGAGAGATTAGATTCTGTATTGCATAGGATGGTTTGGATAAGGATGATCTTGCCTCAGGCAGGGGGTTAGACTCAATGTGACCTCTGGAGGTCCCTTTCAGCTCTACTTCTCTATGATTTTTCTATGAGGAGGAACTTTCTGACTATGAGTGTGGTCAAGCATTACAACAGGCTGCCCAGAAAAGTGGTGGAATCTCCCTCCCTGGAACTGTCTGACAGCAGGTTGGACAGACGCTGGGCTGGGGTGGTTTAGTCTGGGCTGATCCTGCCTGGAGTAGGGGGCTGGACGAGATGGCCATGTGAGATCCCTTTCTATGGCATTTCCTAGTGATGACAGCTCCGAAAAACACAGTCATAACACCAGCGTCAAGCCCAGCTGGAAAAAGTGTTTCCGATGGTGCTGTCTTGAAATGCAGCACAAATACCTTGGATGTTTCAGAGGTCATCCCAGTGGGGCCTTGGACATAGCTGTTGTCATAGCATGATCTCAGACTTGATATCTGGGCCTTAAAGGCCACACTTTACCAGTGATTCCTCAAAGGCTGTCATGGCAGTGTTGGTACCTCAGACACCACCATAATGACGCCTCATGTGCAAGGACAGCCAGTATGATGGAGACTCAGAAGCTGCCCAGACATGGTGTGGCTGGCTCTCAGGAGCTGGGGTGTAGCTTATAAAGCCCCCAGATCTTGCCTCATAAAAAGTGCATTTAAAAAATAGAGCACATTTCTATGCCCTGTAGTAGCAGAGAAAAGCTTGCAAACAAAATAGTAAGCATCATGATGCTCCTTTTTAAGTCTGTGGTGTGTCCACACCTTGAAGACTATGCCCGGTTCTGGTCCCCACACCTTCCAAATGGATAAAGACCTAGAGAACGTCCAGAGAAGAACAGTGAGGATGAAGAGTGCTATGGAGGGGCTTCTGTATGAGGAGAGACTACCAAGGCAGGCCTGTTCAATTTAGAAAAGAGATACTTGAGTGGGACATGAGAAGGGTTTGCAGAACACTAAATGGTGAAGAGAAAGTCAACAGGGACTTATTACTAACTGTCTCTAGCCAGATGAGAACGAGGGGTCACATCATGAAAACTAGTAGGTAGTCAGTTTAAAACTAACACAAAGCAGTTCTTTTCCACCCAGTGCATCATTAAAGGGTGGAACTTGTTGCCACCAGATGTGGTGGAAGCTGAGAGTTTAGCCAGATTCACAAAGGGATTGGACCCTTTTTTGGGGGGAGGAAAGAGGCATCAGTAGCTATTGAGCATGAGAGTGAGGTACACGGCCTCTGAATCAGAATTTTCTAGACCTTAAATGCTGGAGGTGTTTAAGGTCTAGTAAACAGTGGGGAAAAAACCCTGGTCCAACCCAGTTCACTCTCCCTTTTACCTTTCAGGATCTGCTCTCTGCTGCCGTATGACACAGGAGACTGGGCAAGATGGACCTAGGGTCTGACCAAGGATGTGCAGTTCATATGTTCTTATGTTCTTGAAAGCGTTAAGGCTGATTAACTGGAAGGCAGGTATAACATCCCATCACTTGGTGAGTCCTCATGATTTGTAAGTCTGTCTCATGAGTTTTGGGGCCTGACAGATGATTCTAGAAGGCCTTAAAGATGACAGTAGTGATGACAGTGCCTCGAGCAATGCCATGGCAACAATGGCTCAGCCTGCATCAGCGGCATGACTCAACTGACATATGTGATGGCTTTGTGTCTAACCTTAACAGCAGCATAATGCATGACCCTGTATTTAATGGCCTGGTGATGTGACAAGGTCCCATTAAACTAGGTTGGTGCACAGCTGTGATGTGACCCTGAGGTCTTAAACAAGGATGATTCCCAGCCCTAACAGGACATGCCTGATGTTGGTGCTACAGGAAGCAATGGCATTTTCTTGATTATGTTGGGGTCACCTCCATGGAGTCAAGGCAGCCATGGCCAGGGTCTGAATATGGCCCATTTCTCATCCCTTCTCCTCTAGTTGCAGTCCTCTTTGCTGGCCACATGGTGGTATCACAGACCAAGGAACATCAGAGGCATCAACTTCCATTCACTATTCTCCTGGCTCATCTGCTTTGGCATCTAGTTCTGAGTTGAATCTGGGACTCTGGGTTTTTGGATCTTTGCCAGATTTGGTCAGAGAGGCATCAGCTCTGCATTCCTGGAGGCTGATCTCTCCTGTGGGAGATGGTACAATGCAAGCAAGTTCCCCTCTCATTCCTCCTTCTGCTAACAGCGTTGCTTGAATGAGAAAGAGAGACCTGTAGTCTCTATTTGCAGGGAGGGCTCATGGGGACAGTTTGCATTTGCTCTTGCTTGCACTTCCAGATGGCCTATAACTAGATGTGGCCACAGGACGTCAGAAGCTCTTGCCTTTTTTGCATCATGGGAGCATAGGAAAGTCAGGCTGGAAGGGACTTCGTAATGTTATCTTGTCCAGCTCCCTGTTCAAGGTAGGATCAGCCCTAACTAAACCATCCCAACCCCATGTCTGTCCAACCTGCCATTGAAAACTTCCAAGAATGGAGACTCCACCACATCTCTGGGCAGCCTGTTCCAATGCTTGACTCTGCTCAGAGTTAGGACGTTCCTCCTTACCTCCAGCCTCAGTTTCCCTTGGTGCAGCTTGAGGCCATTGCTCCTAGTCCTGTCCCCTGTGGTCACAGAGAAAAAAAAAATCTCCATCTTATCTGTCATTGCCCTTCAGGGATTGGAAGTGATGTGATCAGATCCCCCCCATAATCTTCTTTTCTCCAGACTCAGTCACCCTGGTTCTTTCAGCTTGTCCTCATCAGTCTTGTGTCCCAGGCTCCTAATCACTGTTGTTGCCATCAGGCTAAGAGCAGCCAGGATCCTTCCCAGTCCCCCTCTCTTATTGCCAACAAGCCATTTTGGCCCCCTCATAGAGGGTCCAGGCTGCCCCAGATGTCATCCTGTCTTCCTCTTGCTTTCTAACCCTTAATCTGAACCCAGTGAGGCAGCCTTCATGGACAAGACACCATCAATAGCCAGCTTTCTCCCACACAACTGGGTGTTGTTCAGCCTTTGCTCCACCAAAGACCTCTGAGAGTCAAACCTGATTCCAAACAAATCCTAACCACCCCATGCTTGGGTCCTAGCAACCAAATGGAAGCTGACAACCCCATTTTCCAGTCACCAGCCTATGTGGAGGAGCAGGGCTTCTAGCAGCTCCCGTTGGGTTGAAGACTTAAGTGTAGGTTTTTCTTTAAGCTGCCCAGGAAAGGAAGCTGGTTCTGGTTGGGGGTGGCTAGCCCTAAACCATTTCACCCTTGCATTCCCACTGCTGCTGCCCTGCTTTCAACAAGCAATTGCTAATGTCCTATGAAGAGAGCGAAGTAGAAGGCTCAGGATGGCTGACAGGAGAGCTGACACCTAAAGAGCTTGGTGAGGGAGGATGTGAGAAGCAAGAGGATCCTGCATTTGTCTTGGCTTGGCCTTTAAGCTTCTCCCCCTCTTGGCCCATGGGAGGCAGCCTCAGCTGAGCTCTCTTAGGGTTTCCTCTCTGCTGGTGGGGTTGGAGGTGTTATGAAAAGTGTTTCATTTACTTTGAGTCAGCTCCAGAGAATTGCACTCATTTAGCAACAACAAAAAAAACCACTCCCAAAGTCTCAAGCGCCAGCTGATCTGTCGGCTCTGCTTTCTGTCAGCAAAACAGAGGCTCTGAGAAACAGAGATGTTTCAGGGGCCAGGATTCGACAGCCAGGGATCCTACACTATTCTCTACAGCAGCTGCTGCTGGGGAAGTCTGGGCCTGGAGTCCTGGAGCACCTCCAAAGGATCAGCTGGTGCCAGACCAGAGCTTTCGCTGCATTCTTGATGCAGACTTTGCACAGACCTAGAGGGAGAAGTACTAGGGATGAATGGGTCACACACAGAGCGCTATCATGCACATGCCATTTCACCTTTCTGCACATGTGTGCACATGCAGCCATGCTGTTGGACACTCTCAAATAGTGTCTGTCATCTCTCCCTTGCACTAACAGCATGGAGTGTCAGACTAGCAATGGTCCAGTGGTTGCTGCAGTAGCTTGAGATTTCAGGGAACCTGTCCAATGGGATAACAACAAGAGCCAATATCACTGGGAAGGGGGCGAGGATAAAGACATCAACCATGATGAGATGCCCAGAAGGTGTGGCAATGCATGCTAGATGAATACTTCAGCTTGATTGTATAGATATCATTGAGTGTAAATGGCATGGCATTGATCTTTTTTGCTCAGTTTACTACACACATGCACATATACACCTTCATGCACATACACATAAATATGTGCACACACAAATGTGTGTACATAAACACAAATGTGCATGTGCACACAAATACACGTACATGTACACACATGTGTACACATACACACAAATGCACACGTGCGTGCATACACATACCTGCATGCACACATGTACATGCAGGCACACATACTACACATGCACATATATGAATGCACACACCTGCACATGTGCGCGCACACATGAACATACATGTGCGCGCACACATATACACATAGATACATACATGTGCATGCACACACACCCCATTGTCACAGCTATGGGTGGATCTAGGATTTTAAAAAGAGGGCTGCTGTTGGGGTGTTGCCGCATCCCATAGAACACAACACTTGTTTTTTTTTTCCAGTTAAGAAGAAACTAGAAGATTTACTAATATGCTTGGGGGCAGGGGACAGCACTAGAAGGTTTAGTTTAAGATTAAAGCAGAACAAAATATAACTTAATTGAAGCGTGCACTCATTTGCTCGATTTATATATTAAGTTTAAAAAAATGCAGCAAATGAGCCAAAAACAATCAAAAGACCCTGTTTACTTGAGTCCTGTAATTAATTGTTTTTCTTTTAGTCAGAGTCATAAAACAAAGTCAGGTGCGGGATCAGGAAGGAATTCCACCCCCCCCCCTACCAATTTTGGGGTGGGGGGGTTGCTTTCCTTGAATGGCCTCTACCTGGGATCTCTCAAGTGTCTATTAAGAACCTTTTACAGCAGGAGGATGTTGGCCACTGTGGCTCCCCTGATTTACCTATGTCAGATTCAGATGATGTTAGTCACGAATGATGATGGATCATTGTGATAATGATGCTGATCCATTCTTGATGGATTTGTCTGGGATGTTTTGGGCAGGGTTGACCTTGCCTCAGGCAGGGGTTGGACCGGATGCGACCTCTGGAGGTCCCTTCCAGCCCCACTTCTTTAGGGTTGCCATGGAAGACCAGCCTTTTTGAGCATCTTCACAGGGCATCTAGCATGCAACTGCCTGTCCTTTCCAAACTTGAGTTCATATCACAGTCACAGAAAAGTCGGGCTGGAAGGGACCTCTAGAAGTCATCTAGTCCAATCCCCTGCCTGAGACAAGATCGTGCATATTAAATCAGAGCACCCCAGTTGAGGTTTGTAGCTAGAACTGGTCCCAACCTGATGCTTCTTGCACAAAACACACGTGCTGTTGTCACATTAGGATTCCCAGCCACACACTTCACATATGATATTGCCCATAGCACGTGCACATGCTCCCCCCTTGCATGTGCGTTATCATATGCTCCCCATGCCTACTGTTATCTGCAAAGACCGCAAACAATGTCCCAGACATGTATTTACAAGCTGTCTTTTTCCTCTCTCTCTCTTGCAGACACAGCCACCCCAGAGGGTTCCTTCTTGTGTGTCATTCTGTTTTCCTAACACTCCTACGCTGTCCCCGTGTGAACCAACAATTAAAGGAAACTGCTGTGCACACACGCACACACACAGCTCTGTTGTCTTATGGAGTAGAGATGTTACTCACGCATTCGAGCATGCAGTGGGGGGTTAGGGATTTCCAGAGACTCCCCTGGTGCCTGGGACTCTCCATGTCTTCCTTGTTGGCAGTGTGGTGTGGTTGTATGAAGCTGAAGGCTTCCTGAGCTGTGCTGCAGTACATAAGACCAGCCATTTTCTGAGTCCGACCCTAGGTCCATCATGCCCAGTCTCCTGTGTCACACCAGGGCAGAGAGGAGGTGATGAAAGGGAAAGTGAACTGGGTCTGACCAGGGTTTTTCCCCCCGTTCCTCTCCCACTTGCAGTCTCCAGCATTTAAGGTCTGGGGAGTTCTAATTCAGAGACATTGCCCCTTGCTGCCATGCTCAATAGCTACTGCTGCCCCTTTCCTCCAAGAACATGTCCAGTCTTCTGTGAATCTGGCTAAACTCTCAGTTTCCACTACATCTGGTGGCAGCAGGTCCTACCCTTTAATGCCACACTGGGTAAAAAAGAACTGTCTTGTGTTCATTTTAAATTATCTGCTAGTCTCACATTGTGACCCTATGTGTGGGGATGTGGCTCAGTGTTGACTTTCTCTGCTACTCTCAGCCCAGCTATGTCAAGAGGCAGAAGCCACCCTCTGACTAGAGATGGACCAGATGTGCTGGAAGCTAGGGGGTTTGATGCTTTCCAATCCCTTTGGAGCTCCTCCTGTTTCCCCTGTCACTTGCCCCACCTCTCTCCAACTCCCCACATCTTTGATTTCCCCTCAATCTCTTTGGCTTTTCTATCATTTAATCCTTCTACTAATTACGCCCTTCCCCCCTGTCACAACCCAAAGTTGTGATTTTTGTTTTTGTGTGCTTTGGCACCACTGAATTATTTTCCCGCCAAATTTGTAGCTTTCTTTGCAGTGTGCATTTCTTTTGCATCTGAGAAATGCTCGTTGCAAAGAGTTCCCGCCATTTGTATTCTAATTCGAGCCCCATTATTGGCT